GGCTTTGAAATCCCAGCTTATGAGAAAAATCGAATTTTCGAAGTAAAATCAGTGGTCGGTTCTTACAGAGGCAGCCTCTTAAAGGATAATAGCTGGGCTGACAATACTGGATTAACTGACTGCTATGTAATTATAAGGATTTATTGGGTATAAACAAGGTGCTGTTGCTTCTAAACGAACAAGCGGATCCCTCAATTTTATCTCAAAATTTAACTTCCTATAATATAAATAATCAATAGGCAAAGTTTCACAAAAATCTCAGTGCGGGTTCTATTTCAGTGGAATGACCTTAAATCCTGGTTAAAATCCTGGTTAAATGATTTTATTCTTTCCTTTTTCTTTGCATTGGAGAAGCGGTAGATCAACAGTGGTTTAATGATCGTTTGAAAAGACAACAGTTTTCTTGTATTACAACTCGTTAGCGGGAGGAAGTGATCATTTGGAAGTGTACACTTTTAAGATACCATAAATCCTCGATTTAGCGCCCAGGCCCTTGTTTCACCTTATAATCAAAGGGGGGCACTTACCTATTGTTTTCCCAAATCGTGGCTAATGATTGCATAAAAAGGCTGGACAAGAATGATTAAACTCAACCAACACTACACATCCTTTGTTGTCTCATTACATGTCCGTAAAACAGGGGAACGGGAGGAAGAAGCTTATCCAAAGGGTTGGAAGAAGGCGCTTATTTTGAATTTTGGACGATATTAGGAGTGTTTATTCAAAGGAGGCACTTATTCGAGGGGAGGCGCTAATTCAAGGATTTACGGTATCTGGATAAAATATTACATCTGCTTCGTGTTGCAATGACTCATTCTGCTGGAACACACTATTTGCCCGCCATCTTCACGTCGCTGGTTCAAATTTTGTCTACTTTTTTTCAATGGATGATGGTGGCAAACAGCGGTAGAAATGAAATAAAAAAACTAAAGGAGTGTATAAAAATAAAAAAGAAACGGGGTCAGGAAATTTGTACAAAAACAACAAATTGCTGTGATTGTGATCAGTGGTTTTTAGAGCACTTACGATATGTCAAATCATTCCATTACTTTCCAAAGTGCCAAACAAATTTCAATAAACTACATAGTTTCCGCTTTTTGAGGGGAGGTGTGAAGACAATACACAAAATATTTCTATAAGATGCATTTCAAAGTTCTTGGTGGTAATTCAGTAGTGCAGACGTTTTCCATACATTAATAGGGACTTTAAGATACGCTACGGCGAGGTGCTACTACGGCTACTTTGGCCGTGAGGGACTAGGCTGACAACGGTGTTTTACCCACCAAACTCAAATGNAATAAATAGGGACTTTAAGATACGCTACGGCGAGGTGCTACTACGGCTACTTTGGCCGTGAGGGACTAGGCTGACAACGGTGTTTTACCCACCAAACTCAAATAATTAAGATTTTGCTGTACGGCAACGGTATGTGCAGTCTCTACGTGTCTTTACCAAAATGACTACTTTCGAGGAAACCAGAGATTATTCTACTTTCATACGAAATAGGATTGATTAACGACGATAATTTCCTTCTCCTGTATCCATCTTAGATCTCCGAGAACTCAGATATGCCTTTTAGAACTTGATAGAACCGCCTGTAATTCCAGTCACAAAACAAAATATAAACACTGATATAAAAAAGCTCGATTTCAACTCGGATAGGTTGCTCATACGATGATTACGTGATGACCCCCAAAATACAAAACTTTCGATTATAATAAAATACATATTAAACAGTGATAAACGATTATAGCTCAGCTTAGTACATATGTACTGCTGTTTGGCCCGATACTAATATGACTGAATTGATCATCTCGCGGCAGGTGTTAAAATCGTTCAAATTTTCTGTACAAATGACAAAGAAACAATGATCTTAGAACTGATTTTTATGATTGAGAACTTTATCTTCAAACTAGGCCGTTCAAACACTGAAAAAGCGTTTAAATGAGAAGTAAACAGCAGGCTTATACTCACGTAGTGAAGAGTACGTGAAACCAGGCACTTTCCCATATTAGAAAGCAAGGCTACGCGGGAAAGCCGTACTGGTACACGCGTCATGACGTCACCGGAAGCGATCTTCACTATCTGCCGCCCTACTACAGCCCAGTCATACCATAACTTAAAGTCCCTAATAATTACCACTTAATTGTCCTCAGTTTTGCGGCTTGTATGCAATGTTTGCTGGAATGTCGCGTATTTTCA